ATACAAATGAGGTATGAATGATAACTTATTTACAAACAATATTATATGAGATCAGCCCTTGAATTGTGTATATAGACTGGTTTACATTTAAAATGTTTTCTAGAGTAGAAAAATCATTAAGGTAGTTAGTATAAGTAATTTCAATGCCTGGAAAGTTTACTGAAGATTTGCCCCAACTAAGATTCTTTTAGTATTTACTCAAGTACTTATTAGGCACAGTCACACTGACCAATATGACCACCCCAAATACGATGCAAATCCACCACCTTATATTATTTGCTTCAGATTTTGGCACTTCATACTCTAGTCAATGTATTCACTACTACACACAGATATATCTTATTATAAGGTACAATATTTCATACTAAGGTACAATTTCATCCTAAGCCCATTAACTTTTACAAATTCAATTAAATTGTAAAAATATTATAAATTGTATTTTATGTATGTATTTTTTCAAACACAGTAACACTGGTCTGATTAATCATACATATTATGGCACAGGAGTTTTATATAGAAAACCACATACACTATAATGATTTAAGGGAGTTTTGAGGATAATTTCAACTATACAATATTTTTGCTTTACTAGTTGATTTCTGAAGCTGACATCTTTGTTAAGGTGCATTTCTAGTCATCAACTGAAAACTACCATGACATACATTCTAAAATAGGAGTTCAAGGCTTTAATGTGTGTGCATGCACACATGTGTGTATGTGTAACGAAATATATTTTTAATACAGGAAACTTAAATAATACAATACAACTTACCTTCTCTATATCCCCCTCCCTACACAAATAGTAAAGGGCCAGCATTCTTAGTGCTTCCACATTTTGGCTGTCTTGGAGCAGTAACCTGCAGAAAAACATTTCAGTCAATGCTGAAATAAATTTACATATTTTCTTTTATTCAAGAGCTTGAAAAGTTGGTTTGCTTGTCTCACTATTCCACTGTTCAAATAACTAATTTTAGTTAGAAAAATTCCATCTGCTTTAGGAAAATTACCAACGTCGTTACTTAAACTAAAAAGTCTCTGTAATTTAATTTTTGGTATGTTTTTAAAAAGATATGAATAGATCACACTAGTCTCATTAAATTCTGTGGCAATCCTAAATAAAATGTTAGCTAACTATACAAAACAGTATATTAAAAGAATAATTCCCCTTGACTAGCCTGATTTATTATAGGAATTCTTGGAAAGCAAAAATGGGTCAAACATTGAAAAACCTATTAATGTTAGTCACGTTAAAATAGATTCCTATGTGATAAAAACAAATTAGAAAATATTTTGAAAAAATAGTCTTTTAGGGAGGGGGGGGAAGGGCAACATACGTAACCTAAACATCTGTACCCCCATAATATGCTGAAATAAAAAAAAAAAAATTAAAGTGAACAAGAGCATTTGAAGTGAAAAAAAAAATAGCCTTTTAACTAGAAAATCAAAAGAAAAAAATAACAAGTATAAACTTTGTAAGAAATGTGCAGAAGTCATAAAATTCCTATAAAACTTTACTCAAGGACATTTTAAAAAGGAACTGAACAAAAGAGGTAACACCCTAGGTTTCTTATGGATGATGTGGTACATTGAAATTATTGGTTCCAGTTTTCAACTCTCCCTCAAGACGTGCCTTCTGTCATGTAACTAACTGAACAGTTCCTCCTACAAAAGGTGGAATGAACTTTACTGCTCCTTGACTAGGGACTTGGACACCTTTTTTATATTGGTCAATGGAATGTGGGCAGGAGTAGCAGTGTGCTAAGCCTAAATTTCAGAAGCATTGCTTATTTCTGCCTGTTCTCTTGCATCTCTGCCGTCACTACGAGAAGAATTTCGTCTGGGTAGCTGCTGCTTTTTGGCTTGAGCACAGGAAAAAACACCCTTGGAGATGACCAAAGCCCAACTGCAAAAAGGTGTCATGTCCACCCAGCTGGATCTGAAGCCTGAAGCAGAGCCCTAGCCAAGCCTGCTTGAAATTAACAGACCCCAGACAACCCACACAAACTTGAGAAATAAATACTTATTATCATATGCCCTGAGATTTATTGTTGTTTGTTATATACCAATATAGTTGCCTGACATAATAATGCTCAGTTTTGGTTAAAAACATTTTTCCCCCAATAACTATAGATTTAATGCAATTCAAACCACAATCTTATAAAGTTTCTTTTTTAACTTGGTAAGTTAATTCTGACAGTCAATGGCAGAAAAATAGCCAACAAAACTGTCAAAAGAGAAATGACATGATGGAGAACTTGCCCTGAAAGATATTGAAGTCCATTAGAAACTTAGGGAAGAACAGGCCTAGTTAAAACAACAACAACAACAACACACACACACACATACATAGGATCAGTCAATAGACAGAAGAAAAACAATAGCTTTTAGCATATAAAAAGATGCTCACTCTCACACAATCAAAAAATGAAAATAAAATTAAGGTACCTCATTTATTCTATCAGATTGCTTAAAAAACAAAAACAAAAACACACACACTGATAATAGCCAACTAGTGAGGATAGGGCAAGGGGACATTCAATAGACTATTGGTAGGAGTATAAATTAGTATAATTTATACTAGAACAATTTGGCAGTGTCTGTCAGAATTTTAAATATGTATACCTGAGGCAGAGACTATAGTCTGTCTCCCCTTATTTGTATGGGAACATGACTAGCCAATGCTTCCTGGACACTTTTGTAGTTAAATGTGGTCAATGTGAGAGAAAGTAATGCATGCCATTCCTGAGCCTGGGAACGACTCCTCCACATTCTCTTTTCCTTTTCACCAGCTGTTATGAGGTCTTAGGAGATGGCAGAATTGCAAGATGGAAAGAGCCTAAATCCCTTAAAAATAGAATGGAGGAAAGCTACCCAATCAACTCTAATAGTCATCTAAAACATAAAAAGCTCCGATGAGAGGAAAAAAAAATTCTATTATGTTGAACTGTCATATGTTTAGATCTATTTTTGTAAGAGCTTAGCCCGCCCTAACAAACACAGTATCTTTGATTCAGCAATCTCTCATTCTGGAAAACTTCCTCCAGAAAAACTACAGTATGTATACAACAAGGTATATGTGGGTGTTCACTGTAATATACTGAACAGTAAAAAACGTTAAATTGCCAAAGTGCATATCAATGGAGAAAAACTAAATAAACTATTTATATGTTCATTTCATATAATGCTACCCAGTTGTTTAAAAATGATTAGGGGAAAAAAACCCAAAATTGTCTTTGTTCACAGATGGCATGAACATCTATGTAGAAAATTTGAAAGAATCAACAAAAAAAATCTCTTGAAATTGAAAAATAATTATAGCAGGATTGTAGGATATAAGGTTAATATACAATATCAATCAA